TTTATTTTAGCTTCAATAACTTTTTCTGATAATTGTTCCTTTTTGGAGTCATACTCAGCACCTAAATCTATAGTATAAGGCGGTATCCTCCAACATTCTTTGTCCTCTTCTTCCTGACAAGCATAGGTGATCGTAGGCAGAGTTAATTGTTCATCTCATTGTTTCCACTTTTTTAAGATTATTACCTTATTGCTTGTAACTTGAAGTCTATTTTTTGGAAAGTAACCACTTGAACCATGGATTGCACAGACATTCCACAAATCATTGTTAGATTGGTCTAAGACCAAAACTGTATCATTTTTCTTTAGAACAAGATCATTGTTCGAATAGCCGAATAGACCAATAGCCTGCAGTATTCTTCTCTCTTCTTCGACAACCTCTATTACTTCTTTTTCAACCATTTCTTCAACTTTGACAAGTTCAGGAACTTCAAGAATTTCTTTTTCAACTTCTATGTCATTTGCTTCGGTTATGCTCAAATATTTTGCTTGTTTATCAGATGTACTAGTAGGGTCATCCAAGTGCTGGTTGGCCACTTTTGTCATGAAAGCAGCTAAACAATTCAATCTCTCAATATCAGCGGAGTAAGATTTGATCTCCTCGAATCTTGCATGATGTTGCAATAATGATTTTGCTTCATCTTTTCCATAATCGGTCGATTCAACTAAGGGTTCCATTGATTTTATCTAAGATTCTGCTTCATTAGCATCGGCTTAATAATTGATGACTTTCTAAGGCGTCCTCCAGCAGTCTCGCCTTAACTAATTCTTTCAGAGTTCTCCATATATTTTTCACCTCTCTCACTCTTGAATTAATTTCTGTGGAGCCTCTGTGGTTGCTCTGTTGGTGAGTTAACTCCGCTGCTACGGAATATAAATGTTCTTGGGCTCTTGGTTCCCTGGCTTGAATTTTTTTTTCGTTCAATTCAAGTTTATTGATTAACCAAGTAGATGCAGTTAAATCCATCCCAATGCCTCGGAATCTCATTTTTGACATTTCTCAACCAACTATTGTGACATCTGAATCAATCACTACAACTACTATTGTTTCTACATCAACAACAGTATATGCTATATTCTGCAAAAACATTGAATAAAATAAATATTTTTGAGAAAACTTTCATCAATATCTAATAATTAAAAACAGTTTTTGATGCAATTAGTACATCAACAATTCTAACAGAAACTTCACCTTACCATACTCAATAGAGAAGATACCCTCCTGTATCCTACAAAAGACAATGTGCAGCTTAAAAAGATTCTTCTTAATCTTTTTCAATGAGTAATGCTTAACTTTTCATTTGAACAGCAGATAGTTATTATTATCATGCAAATTTTTTATTGATTTTACCAATTTGTTATTCATAGAATAATGACTTTTTTTTCTTCATAAAATAATAAGAATATTTTCGTGTTTTATTCTTTTCATTATCTTTTTCTAAATAGAGGATTTGTACTTCTGATAAATCATAAAATTCAATCAATTTCTTATCATGAATCTCCACCAATAAAAAAATTTGAATTAATCTGGAAATTTGAAAATTTAAAATATTTAAAAAAAATGATGCAATACTTTTTTAAGTAATTGAATTTACTAACTAACCTGATTTCCCTCTAATTGTTCAGGGATTTGAAAAAGATGATGTAATTCTGTATAAGTGTTTGGCAAGCCTTTAGATTTGCGAAACGTTTTTATCTGGTCGACTGTGCAGAGGAATAAATGTGAATTTGTCAATTTGACAATATTTTGTTGCAAAAGTAGCAATCAATGGTGGACGAGAAAAATGATCTTGCGCTTCCTATTCCTTACATTCAAAACAAACAAAATATTTTGCCAACTATTGCTTAATATGCAGATTCTCTCAGTAAGTGTAATTCTTTATTTATAAGACACAGAATCTCAGAATACTCTGAAAGTACTTTTTCATCTTTTCCTACTTCCTGTAAGAGAAGTAGATCAAATCTTTTTAATATCTGTAACCAATCATATCTAATCAATTTTTCCATTCTTCCAGTTTTGATAAAAATATGATTTGTAAACATTGCTAACTGAAATTATTTTGAATAGTTATATTTCCATTGTCAGGATAGTAAAATATTCCATTTGGAACATCATTTTCCATCATGAAATCAAACTAAAATTGAAAAAGGAATTTTTTGGATTTGTATGGTAAAATAAAGCATAAAAAAAATACCTTCTAATTTCTGGTGAAGAAGCTTTTGAACTTGTAAAACAATTTCATGACATTTTTTATCTTTTGCCATTTCTATTCTATTTTCATCTTATTTCTGATTCCCAACTATATTTTATATCGTTACAAAAAAAAGCATGTTTGAAAGTACCGTCAAGAAACCATGTTTTAATTGATGAAAGAAGTTAAATTAGTTATTGCAAATATTATAATACAAAAGCCACAAAACATTTTTCATTTCTTATGTATAGCCAGTCATCAATTTTTTGTAAGTTGGTGGTTTTCTTGTAATGGCTATATTAAGTCTATCACTGTATTAGCTCGAAAAGGTGAATAGTAGAATTACTGCAGTCCAAATTCTCCTCACTCCTGTTGAGATTTTACTTAAGTTACTAATTTTGCTAATCCCTAATCTTAAAACCTAAACCTACCAACTTCGCCTACTAAGGCGACATAGCTCTGGAACCATTCACCCTTTTTTGTTAAAATTGAATGCAGTGATTAAGTTCAATTTGATCTGTTCCTGTACAAAATTTAAAGCCAGTCGAAGTAAGTTTAAAAATTTTGATATTAAGAGTGATCAACAAACTACTAAGGACAACAGTAAAGTGATTGTAGCGAAATTGAGCGAGAAGGGACTAGTACCCCGCCCAAAGATTTAGTATGTCTTTCAGAAATCAGTTTTGATCAACCAACCATTTATTCACTCATTCAAAAAAAAATTATAGATGAATAGATGAATAGGAATATCAAAAGAGAAATTTACTTTTTTTTTCATATAAAAATTTTAGTGTAAAGCATCCACATTGAATAGTATTGAGCTGGGTCTAAAATTTTCTTTAAAGCTTTCATATCAAACTGAAGTGCAGAATGTATCAATTTAATTGGTAATCAACTGTTTAGATATTCTAATAAGTAAGCATAATAGTTTACACTAATTTTTAAATTGTTAAATTATAGAATACTCATACGATGAAATCCATTGTATAAAGGCTTACAATATTACCTACCTTTTTTTGAAGAGATTATCATCAGTTTCTAAATATATGTGTGTTACAACTATAAACTGTTTACAAAAAGGAAGAAACAGAATAAATATAAATAGAAAATGAAAATTCAACATCCTGAGACTACATCTAATCCTATATCAAGATTATTAGTACTGTTCAGTGTTTACAATTTTGTTTTTAACATTTCTAAATTAAAACTTTGAATCCTAATTTTTTAAAAATATAGATGGATTTTTAATCTGCTAAAAGGTAAAGATTGGATTAATAGATTAGATAATTATGAAATATTGATATCATTGGATTCAAAAATTTCTCACAGTAAAATAAAAAGGTACATTTTAATGAAAATATAACCCTAACCCTAATTTTCTTCTCAAAAAAAATATATTTCTTTAAGTGATATTGAAAGCTTTAATTTGGATAAGAAATTTTCACTATTCAAGATCACAATAGATAAGATTAAAGGAACAATTTTCTTTTTAATGGTTGTCAGATTGCTAATAGTTTGTATCAATTCATTTTTACACTTTTCAAAAAAAAAATGTCTTTTTTAAAGATATGCTCTAGATATGCAGTTTCATTTTTATTGCATGATCTGCTGGCAGAACTATTGGAAGGTGTAACTGGAAAAAGTTATTGCATTGCACTGGCTATAAGTTAGTTTTTATGTTTTATTAATGTTTTTTATATCATTCAAATTATAAATTCAACAGCATTCTGCTCATTGCTTGAGAGCATTATTTTAAATTATCTTCTTCTTTCATTAACAAAATGTGGCATTTGTCTCAAATCTGCTTTGGGATGTTGTATTTTTGAAAAGATTTTAAAGATTGATTATGAATGTTTACACAAAAACACTGCTGGAAAGATTATGACAGTTTTCTCCAATGATCTAGAAAGAATACCAACTGTTCTTCAACATTTTGGTGTAATCATTGGATCAATAACATCCATATTTACTACAACAATTCTTATTGGAATTCTTCATGGTTATCCTACAGGATTTACATGTTTTTTAACAATTATTAGTATTTCAGCATTTCAGTCCTGTATGGCATATAAACAAGGTCTTCATAGATCAAAGATTGCAGCTACAACTGACAAAAGAATACATTTTATGAATGAAATTTTAACTGGAATTGAAACTATTAAAATTCAAGTTTGGGAAAAATATTTTTCACAAAAAATTTCTTTCCTAAGAAGAAAAGAAATATTGAACCTTTTGAAATCATTCAAACATACAATATCATTAAGAATATTTGACATAATTGGTGTTAAAGTTGTCATTATCTCTTCAATTATTGTTGCAAAATTAACAAGGCCAGAAACGTTAAACCTCCCTTCAGTTTTGAGATTTATTGGTCTTGTTTTTCTATTAGATGGTGATGTTTTTTTCCTTTTTCCAAAATTTATTCATGGCTTAAAAGAGTATTTCATTTGTCTGCAGAGAATAGAAGTTTGTAAATTGTCTTTTTTTTAACATACTAATTTATTGTATTATTTTACAATTCAGGATATATTACTTGTAAACAACAGATTAAGAAATAAAAGCATGAAAATGTCAATTTTGAATGATAACAGCAATTTAAATATTTTCCATTTAAAAAATGTTGATTTTAGTTGGACAGAAAAAGAAAAGTATAATTCCAAAATCATTTTGAAAAATGTAAACTTATTTGTTGAATCTCCATCTTTGATTGGTATCTATGGAAAGACTGGTTCAGGAAAAACTACACTGCTCCTAACAATTCTTGAAGAGCTTAATCCAATAAATGGATTTATCAAAATTCCATTAAAGAAATCCTATTTATCACAAGATTCTTGGCTCTACAATGAATCAATTAGAGATAATATACTATTTGGAGATGAATACTGTTTCAAAAAGTACATCAAAGTCTTACAAATATGCTCACTTCAAAAGGTATAAAAAAGGAAAAAAACTTTCAAAAATTCCTTTTTTATTACAAAATTTTAATCTTTTTTAGTATTTGGCAAATTTTCCAAAAGGTGACAAAACAATTATTGGAGAGAGGGGAGTTATTCTTAGTGGTGGACAAAAGTCTAGAATATGCCTGGCAAGAGCAGTTTATAGAGATGCAGATATCTATATATTAGATGATCCTTTTAGTGCATTAGATAGGACTGTTGCTAGGCAAGTGATGAATAATTGTATACTTGACTACCTAAAGGAGAAAACTGTAATACTTGTATCACATCAAGTACACTTTCTGCAACAGGCTGATAAAGTCTTTTCTCTAGAAAATGGTACTCTAAAACAAGTTGAAAAAATCAAACTTTCAATCACAGATTATAAAAGTAATCAAAACAAAGAAGTAGCTCTTTATCAAAAAGATGAGGAATATATGAAAGAAAACACAGCTGATGGGCTTTCCAGCTGGAGAACTTATAAAGCCTATTTTGATAGTGGTAGTTATATTGTGCTAGGCCTATATTTTGCTTTATTTTGTCTCATGTTTACAATGAAAATTTATCTTGATACTAGAATTAAAATTTTTGCAACAAGTTCATGGTCGAAAAGTAATCTGTTGCATGTTTTTATCATCTTATTCCTCATAATTTTAATAGAAATTGGAAGACAAATACTTTATTTCATTAATATTTGCTTATGTTCTATAAATCTTCACAATGGAATGTTCATCAAAGTATTATTAACTACTATGAGATTTTTCAATACTTATCCCAAAGGTAGGATATTAAACAGATTTTCCAGAGATATTTTTTTTATTGATGTATACTTGTACTCCAATGCTGATGGAATATTAATTT